TTTATTGTTAAAACAATATTTGATTTGAAAGGATAAGTCAACATTTTTTCATAGACCCATCTTACAGATATGGTACAAGTTTTTACAAAAGAACTTATACCATAGAACTCTTGTTGTATGAAACACAGGTTGGAATGATGTTTTTTTTTTTTTTTATAGCAGATACTTATTTTTGTTTCATTTTTGCACATGCATTCTTGATATTATAGTTATGCTTCACAAATAAGACTTTTGCTATATTTTTTTCACATGTAAAACATCAATCTACTTTAATTAATATTTTATCATTAAGTAGAGTCTGAAAACAATCAAATGCGGGTTAAAAGTTGTTTAATTTGTGCGATTGATATAAGTTGACATTGCAGTCAAAGACAGGATGTAGTTGCAGACAGAAGTATTGTATGCTTAATAACAATGCAATATAACAATAAATATTATTTATATTTGGAACTATAAATTTGATTACCTATCTTGTCAAGTGTCAATATATTTTCACATCTGGTGAAAGTAATGCGGGCTAGAGGGACCCCAACTAGATTTTTCGAGCAAGTATGACTAAAATTTTAGTTGCCAAATGACAAAAAAATCACTTGTGCCCAGCTAGTAATGCCAGTACATATGACAGGTCCTGTAGTAAATATGAAACTCAAATATATATAAAAAGAGGGCTGGGTCATTCCATATCAAGTCATACATAGACAAGGCACAGCATAACACAACAAGACAAAGTAAACATACTAAATTATATAATAAGAATGGATAAACCACATATGAAAAAAAATTAATGTGGATTAACAACAAATGGATAAATATCAAAAGTCTTACATAGTGTGATACAGTAGTCCCTCAAAATTGAAATAGGCAATACCCTGCTTTCAAGTCTTTCTGCTATCAAGAATCATAATGTTCCCTATAATAATTCCATATAAAAAGCATTTATAAATAAAGCACCTGCCACCTTAACAGGGGCACACTGTGTGCTTTCTTTCACACACGGCAGAACAGACTGTATGTATACGCTTTGTTGAATTTATTTCTTAAACCTGAGCCTAGAGTTAACATAATACTACCCCGCCTCCAAACAACAGACTGCATTATTCTTTATGGTCTGATCTTTGCTATGGTGAGGTCAGCATCAGAAATAATCAGTGAACATATTTCTCTCTACCTCAAGTATATCAATGAAGTAGAATAAACTTACTTTATTAAATACTGCATATTGTACGTATTATGATATACAATGGAAAAATAAGAAGCTTTTGATTTATTTTACAAAAGCACTCTACAGTAACTGTGGAGGTCTCTGTGGAGGTCTCCCTCAAATAAAGCGCAACAAACATGGCTATATTTCTTTAAAATATGCTTAGAGTAAGCACAATACAACTACGTCACCAGCCAACAACTGGCAGTTGCTATGGTCAGGTCAACGTCAGGTAATAAACAGAAGCCATATTTTTCTCTACCTTTGAGCAGATCTTATTAGGGACAGGAAGAAACAGGACACACATTTAAGGGATTTCTTTAAAACATTTGGCAGAAAAACAAAAAGGGTACATTGAGTAAGTGTCACATGACTGTGATCTCTTTTTCTCAGAGCTGCAGGAATCCGAGACACTTCTTTTTTGACTATTAACAGCACCCCAGCCAGCTCTCTACACTTTGCACATTAACAAAGACAGTAAGATATGGCAGAAGCACTAGCAGCAGATATCAAAGAGGGTATCTTAACATGCAGTATTTGTATGGAGGAATTTGACGATCCCCGTGTGCTGCCTTGCAACCATACATTTTGCTACGACTGTATACATGACCATGCTGAGGAAAAAAAGACTTCAAACAATGCATTTCCTTGCCCTCTTTGTCGGGAAGAAATCCAGATTCCACCTGGTGGAATTACTGAACTGAAAAAGAATTTTGTCTTTACCACGACCAAGGATATCATATCCAAGAAGCAAGATGGACAGACATTAGAAGAGGAACAGGTCAAAGCAGCAGCAGTGTCACAGGCCACAACACAGATGAAAATCAGATGTAAGAAACATACTAAATGTGAACTAAAATTTTTCTGTGAAGATGATGAAACTCTTATATGTGATAAGTGTATAGCAACAAAACATGACGGACATCGTGTTTCATCAATTCATAAAGCTGCAGAAAGCAACAGAGATAAAATCAAGGCTGCTTGTGTAAAAACCATGAAAAGGGTGAATGTCTTTAAAAAAGAAGTTGCCATAGAAATAGCCAGTTGCACAGAGGACTCTCGTATCAGGGAAGACATTATCAAAGAGGTTGAAAACCAAGCCGAGCAAATTGTTCAACAGATTAATGATAAAAAGGCCACAGAGATATCAAAAGTAAATTCTGCACACAGTCTCATTAAAAACAGGGACATCCTTGAACAACACCATACTACCTTGCAAAGTACCTGTGACTTTGCCCAGGAACTCACCACAAATGGCACTGACTATGAAATTATGGAACAAGCAAAAGCTCTGATAGAAAAACTAGCAGTGATGGAAAAAACACCTGTTCCTACTCGAGACATACCAACACAGATATCCTACAGTCCTGGTAAGATATCTACTGCCGGACTGAGAGCCATGTTAGGACAGGTGACAGTACAGACACAACCTCCATTAGCTGGACTTTGGACATATCTAAGACCAGCACCACATCCTCCTGATATCTTAGAGAAGGCAGAACGTGTGCCTTCTTTTAGTCTTCCGTTAAAAGGCGATACAGATGTTTATTTTGAAGTAAGTGGATTAGCCATATTAAATGAAGAACACATGTTTGTTGTGAATAAAAACAGAACAAAAATGTATACACATGCTGGAGAGTTTAAATTTGACATTGAATTAAACAGACCAGTCGATGTGGCTGTGTCACAGACTGGTCAAGTGTATATAACAACAGAATCATATGTCGAAGTGTATTCCATCGAAGGCAGCCAAATAGCAACCATGGGTAATGGTATACTTAAATTGCCATGTGGTGTCACACTGAACAGACAAGGTCATGTGATGGTTTGTGACAGGGAAAAGAAAGCCATCTTCACATTCCATGCAGCCAGTGGACAGCTCCTGGACACTATTCTACTCAATATGTGTAAATACCCCCAGTACATCACAGTGAACAAGGTGGATGATAACATTGTGATATCAGACTGGGGCAATAACTGTGTATATGTGCTGTCACCTACTGGTGATCAGCTGTACCAGTATGGCACACGAGGCAGTGGTGATGGTCAGCTAAGGGAACCACAGGGAGTGTGTACAGACAGCTATGGGCACATCTTCATTGCTGACTGTTACAATGACAGGATAGTGGCACTGAGTCCACAGGGAGAGTTCATCAGATACATTGCCACTAAAGATGATGGGTTGAATCATCCTGTAGCATTAGCCATCAACCCTGCTGGCCAGCTGGTGGTGATAGGGGAAAAGGGCCAAGTTGACACATACCAGTACTTAAAAAGAAAGACATACTCTTCATATTGTACACTGCTGTAAGAACAGCACAATACTGGTGTTCACAGAAATGTCATTTTACCACTGATAATGAGGACAAGTTGGAGGAACAATAAAATATTAAGGTTACCGTAGTGGTCAACTGGACAGCTGTGACAGCAGAGTAGAAGAGTAACTATATTAGCATAACACAATATTGTTGGTATTCTTCCTTCTGAAAAATACAAACTGAAATGCTGACTTAAATTTAAAATTAAGGCAGCAAAGCTGTCAAATGGACAGTCATTAAAAATCAAACTGAGAGAGCAGGGACATCAAAACAGTCTAAGATGGAGACACAATTAAATAATAAAAGTCCACATCATATTTTTTGCAAAAATATATATATATGTAATTCAATGTCAGGTTTTTATTATGTACTGTTACAGTGGACATTTAGATAGTGTTAACTAGACCCAGACCTTTGGGAAATCAATTTCACAAAGGCAGCTGTCCATGTTAGTTTCAATGTGAATTCTACACAGATAATTAGAGTTTGGGTCTTTTAAAATTTTTTACATTGCCAATTTTAGCTATAATAGTGTAAGGGGGCATTCTTAGCTGGGTCTGTCCATCTCTGCAGGGTTCTCTTGCCAAAGTACGATCAGCAGAATCAGATTACTCAGCATAGAATAGTTAATTACCCCCAAGCTGCTGGATGAGGCATGCCATCACCATTAAGATAGCAGGAGCTGCACTGATGTGCTTGCATATTTTACCCGAACATTCAGTGTGAGATAATGTCTAGTTTTCAGGTTTCTTTCTCAAAAATGAGCATGACAACCGAAAACTATTGTCATTTTTCAAAAATAAAACCAGATATCGAAGATTGTCAGAGGGAAATTGTGAGTGATAGAAGCAAGATGAGAAGGCAATTTTGGCAATCTTTATCATATTGGCTCTTACTTATCTCTTGATGTAGTTATGGAATTCTTACTGTTGACCATGCTATTGTGCACCTCATCAGAATTCCCCATAGTTATCTCACACCGGATACTCAAGACTTTATGTAAGAGAGAGATATATGCAGTATATTGGTTTTTTATATTGTAAATAAAATTCAAACATACTGTAATAAAGAGATATATATGCAGTGTATTGGTTTCTGCGATTTGTAAATAAAATACTGTAATAAAGATAAATATATGCAGTGTATTGGTTTCTGCGAGTTGTAAATGAAATTAAATCATACTGTAATAAAGAGAAATACGCATTATATCAAGACCTTCATGTTGTAAATAAAATTCAAACATACTAAAGAAAAAGTTATAAACAGACATGAGCCTACGTTTCATAAAAAAAAAATGAAAAAAAAAAAATAATAATAATAACAATAATAATAAAAAGTAAACATTTATCATGGGACCCAACACCTAAATGGCCGGGGGTCTGGGCACCTCCTTATAAAAATCAACTAAAAAAAACGCGGAATTCTGTGTTTCTGCAGAAAAAGCTCATGTCTGTATATAAGTAATACATGTGTATTGGTACCTTCATTGGTCTTTTCAGCGCCTCTTGTATATCCAGCCTCTTTCTCATGATGGTGGAGTCCAACTTTCGCTCAAACGCCAACAGGTCCATGTATGCTTGGGACTCTGGGACAAGATCCCGCACACGCTGGGACAGAATCTTGTCTGCCATCTTCTTCTTCTTTTTACTTCAGGAAAATAAATAAATAAATAAATAAATAAATAAATAAATAAATAAATATATAGTTTTTAATAAAATATTGTTATTAGAAGTTTAATTCCTTACCCACCATTCCCTGCTGTATTTGATCATTTTGTCAGCCAGTTTAACAGTTTAAAAGTCTTAACTGGTGTCATTCACAATATACAGAACTAGAAACTGGGCCAGCTAAAGAACTTAAACTTGACTGTATTCAAACAAATTTTTCACTTGGCATCCAACATCTTACATTGAATTTTCTAAATCACTTATCAAATCAATGATGCCATCTTTAAGAACTTACTTTTTGCTCATCTGTATTGTCCGCGAGTCCTGCTGCAGCTGGCGCCTCCTATCAATGGCCGCCTGCATGGCTGGCGTCATGCCTGAACGGTGCATGGCTGTGAACAGAAACGGACACATAAGGTCACATCAAACACAATAAAAAATTGGAATTATTTCATTTCTGGTACAGTGTAAAACGCATGTGCAGATTTTCCCTAATTGGTTGAGCTAAATTACACTGCAAATTTGTTTCTTATCCAAAACTTTCTCATTCTTCATCTTGGTGTACCATTTAATCACTTATCCATCTGTTTGGTTCTCTTTTCATCCGATTTATCAAGTACTTATAAAATAATTGCATTACAAGACAAAGAAAAATAATGCCCAGCAGAGATCCCAATAACGTGTTAACCTCATTGGATTTTATGTAGAAATTCTGAAAGAAAATTCTTTTTTATATGAAACTTGTATTGGTAAATGAACTTGTCTTTTTAGTAATTATAGATATCAAAATAGTTGGATTTTTTTTTCTGCTGCAGTACCCTACAATTTACAGATTTCAAGAAGCAGATGAGTGTTACAGTAAGGGAAACTGCGGGTGATTTTTCAGTAATCTCCCAATCACAGATGCCTGACCTACACTAACTATATACTTTCACTATAGAAAATACCAGATAACAGTTCTCTGCGTATCACATTTAAAAGCTTTGACGTATCAAGTGTTCCATCGCAGCATTCCATCTTTTGAACTTGTGTTCTCACAAATGTGCTTCTTTCTGTTTGAATGTGCCGTCTAATGCAGTAGGAATATGGACAAGAAATGGTGGAGAATGAATGGTATCAGTTGGTTGAAACTGGAGAAATTAGAGCTATCATTTATTGGCCATGTGCAGGGGTGGATTGAGGGCATCTTCTGGGTCTTCCAGAAGATGGTCAGATTTTCGAGTTTACATTGCTGGTTTCCAATTTTTTTCTGTCCGAAGATGGTCAAAATCGGAGGATGGATCAACTAAGATCATTTGGAAGACTGTCAGAAAATATCTCTAGAGCCCCCCCCCCCCCCTCCCCCGATGTGAAGGGTGGAAGAACTGTTTTGGTGGTTTTCTTGGCCAAGCTAAGCTGACAATCTCTCAAAAATCATGTTACAGATGGAATGCTAAGATGCAAGGCTGGATGTGAAAATATTTCAGTCTTCATGGATCTGTTCATTCTCATGCTCACACTAGAACTGAACTTCTAAGCTAATGGGTAGCAAAAAATCACATCTGCTAAATAAACTTCAAAACGAAATTTTGATACAATTCACATGCTGTTGAAATCTATGGGAAGGACATATACAGATCATAGTACTTATCAAACACAACAGGGGACAAATGTGTCCAACTGTCTCAAAATACACTTGACCGTAAAAGATAGGAAACATGGTTACTTTGAATAATTATAAAATAACCATATGAGCTAAGGTAAACATTTTAACCAAATATTGATGGATAACACATCCACCATTCATTATTATTTTATATGTACACTGAAGATTTTCCAACTACATTACAACCTTATAAAACAATTCTGTGTTTCCTTACTATTTTGGTCGAGTATACAAGAATTACCAGGAAAACCTGACTCTGGTCTGTCAAACATAGGGAAGGGTTTGGAATAACATCTGGACATTTATTGTGAACCAAACTTAGTCCACAGCCATTCACTGTTTTCTTTTTTCTTTTTTTTACAAATTCAGTAAATTCCATAAGAAAGATCTTAACGAAAATACTGCAAAAACTGCATTCTCCTTTAAAAAATAACTGAAAACAAGCTTACTCCAACATAAACACAAAGACATGCACATACTCCAGATACACGATCTGCTGATTAAAAATCAACTGAACATGATAGCTCTGTGAGAAAAAACAAGAAGGGAAGGAGGAGAGGGGTCCAATGTTCATGTCTGGATATACAACTCTTAACTACGTCTGAACTAATCTGAACATCTTATCATTCAGTCACTCTAAAAGACCATTCCCAGACCCTATCATCCTAACCGATCTATCTCTAAGGGGATTCTTGCTAAATTGCAATCAACATAAGCAGCTTAGACATCTACTGAAGTTATAAGGGGATAATTAATTATAGTTTAGGCAGCTTCAGTAGGCATGCTGAAAGCAATTTAGCGAGAAACCCCTTGGAGATGGATCGATGCTGTTAGATTGATCTAGGTATGGGAACCCAGCCTAAGCACCACAAAGCTCTGTCAATGGGACAAAACAGTGAAACCAAGCATAGCAAATATATGGCACATTCTTCTTCAACTGAAAGGGCATGTCAGAAAATGTTTGCTTAAACTGAAAATGTTCTCAATCCATAGAACCATCAGAACTAAAACAATGCACAATCAGAGCATATCCTATTACTTACTGGAGTCTTTGGGCTCTTTTGATTCTGTGAAATATTTTCAATATTTGATACAAATTAAACATATGCATTCAAATACAGTACTTAAATACCCTTACAGTAATGGCACAGTCAACAATCAAGTATTTCAATGAGCAAAACACATGTTGAAAAATGTCTTAATTTTTTTCCGATTATCACACACACATACTAGTATTGTATATTGGGTCATTTCTTTTCAAAGAGAAGATTTAAGAATTTAAAAACATATTATGTTACAGTATATTGCTAAGTTAACACTAGAGAACAAATGATGCACTAACATGACAAACGGTAGTAAAATAGGAGCTAGCCCAGTAAGATTTTGTAAATGAGCCACAAGTCAATGTTCCTGATTTTAGTCATCAGCTAAATTTTCAGACTAAGGTGGCAAATTATTTAAAGCACAGAATGTAGTACTGAATAATAACTTCAAAATGGCAAATTGGTTGTTATCAATATGAAGCATACCCAGTGCCAATAATATTCATGATTGTAACTAAATTACAACATCCAAAGCAGCAAATTTCTCTAAATTAGTAGGGACCCCCCCCTCCCATAAAAAAATTGAAGAAAAATAATAATTAATAAATAAAAAAGGAAACTATTTTTTCATGCAGATCTTCCACCTACTTTGCTCTTTGGATCTGGAGGCTAAAAAAATACACAACATCAAGCTGTCAATAAACTTCACATTTTCCCCAAGTAAATAGAAACTTTCAAAATATAGAAAAAAATTAAATAATGCCTAAATATTATTTGAATTGGTTTAAAATATGATGGATTGTAAACATGATTTTCATCACAATGATTTTGTTTTCAACATGATGTTATATATGCAAGTATATGTCTGTTTAGTCAGTGTTTGTGTGAGGGAGTAATAGTGGGCCGGGGTTGGGGGGTGGGGTTGCAAGCTGTTATGAGAGACGTTCACAGTTGATATTAAACTAATAGTCTAATCATGTTTGTCTAACACTGTTTCATTGCATACATTTTAAGAAAGTGAACAAAAGACTCCCCCTTTCATCTCTTAACATTGGGAAATTCTCACTGGTGAAAACTACTGCTGAATGTTAATTAACATGGCTGATTGTTAGTTACTATGACAAGACTGAAACGTAAGGCGCATTTACAGTTGAGATGACACAGTAACTTGGTATGCACTATCCCATCGGACAGTGTACGATCACTTCACCAGTGGGAACCAACCCAATCTCCCTGTTGTCCCGCACATGGCTTTCTTGGCAATTTCTTAATTAAACAGAACAGTTAGAGGAATACAATACCCGATAAAATCTCAGGCAAAAATGTTGCGATAAACCATGGGAGGGGATGGTGTCAGGTGGGACAAAAGAGATTGGATAGATCTCATGGTGATCTAATCATAATAATGTCTGCAGAAAGAGCAAGCACCAAGTTGAGCTGTAACAATTATAATGAAAATGCGTCTTCAGTTAATATGAAAGGACTGGATATTAGTAGTAAAAACATCATCATTCCATTGACACAATACTCACTTTCTTTCGACTTGCCACCTGCTTCAAAGTTAAGATAGACATAAAATTAACCATTTTAATGTTAGATAAACCCAGGAAATCTACTTATCACCTTGAGACACTAATAACTTAGACAATCAACTAAACATTTCAATGAAGAACTAAGCAGTTGGTATTATTAGTTAAATAAAAATGTTAACCTTAGCTTTGTTTAAAAAAATCTGGGTCAAACACTGATAATATTCATCACCTTGAACTGAAGGCTTCATCAACATGTTATAATTATACTAAATTTTATTAAGTTATTAAAATTAAATTGCACCAGACTGACAATTAAATATAGAAGATATACCAGTAACAAGACAAGAAAACATTATTATATAATATAAGAAAACAGACTAGGACAAATACATGTATCAATATCTTCCTATTTGGACAATAAACACAGAAAGTAGCTGGAGCACAAGGAAAGCTATAATTATCTCTCTAATCATATCTACATAAATATTACTTTTATTAGTTATTAATATCAATGTGATGTTTAGGGACATGCTTTTCAAAAACTAAACAGCAAAACAGTAAACCACAGTTAAATAAAAACATGGTGGTCATGAAAGGAAGACAAATCTGACATGCGTAGCCTAGGTCTTTTCTGTATTTCAGTGACAAATAAATATATTTCTTTCTGTTAGTTATGCCTTGCATCAAGTGTATTGATAAAACACGGACATAATTTTTTTCTATAAATCAGTAGTAAAATACAGTTTTGGGAAGGTGTGCCTTGGCAATTAAAAGACAACTTAAAACTAGAGGATCAGAGAGGCGATACCGCCTCTGAATATTGTACCACCAGCTGGAGCAAGCGCATTCGTATAGACCCCCACATACACAAAATAAGGGACACAGCCACCAGTTTTGTGCTTGACAAGCTGTAAAATGCAATCAACAAGAANGCGCTAACGCTGGTGGTACAATTAAAGGAAATTTTTCTAGGTGAGGCTCTCAAACCGCAATAAGAATAACTTGGATGGGTATTTTGACTTATTGATTTAAAAGGCTAAAACGAAAATAATATAGTTCCCAAGTCAAAATATAATTTAGTAGACTAAATGAAGATTCAGTCATGCTTCACTGCCAGGCAATGTTCTTATACAGATACTAAATCACAGACATACTTCGCCCTAGCATACATCCAAACAATGCAAGCATTTAAGACAAACAAACATCACTGATGCAGCATAAATTTAAGAACTTTGAGGAAGATCAAGCAAATGTCATGAAACAGTTATTTCACTGTTTTTGTATGTACTGATAGTTAAAAAATAAAATCTTTTTTGAAGAGACCAAACAATCATGTTTGTTTCTTAATATGTTGAAGGAGCTTACAATGACTACTCTGTTATGGTTATAGTAATGGCTCGATCTTTTCAATGGGCGAAAAATTATCAATCTTTCAGATACATAATTTTATGATCATAACAATTTTTTTTTATTACTGTGTGCAGTGTTAGAAATTAAGGCTGGACCGTCTGCCCGGGGCTGACAACTTTCAGAACGGGCTGAGGAGTTTTCCCACCTGGCACACATTCAGCCCAGCTACTTTTCAAGATGGCTGGACTTTCGGTCCAGCAACTTATTTTCCTAAGAGGCAAACGCTGTCTGTGTGGCATTTGTGTTGCTTTTACTATACAGAATAGAAATATAAGGTGGCCTGCTTTTAAAATTTGCTGTTGCCACTCAATAGGGATGCTGCTATTTTAAGAAAAAATGCCGTAATAAATACAGTGTCTGTGAAATTCAAAATTTTCCTTCATTGAAAAGATCCAAGTAATTGCTATATGAACACATTCAGAACAGCGAACAAAGAAACCAGCAGATCAAATATGGCAACCCATGAAAAGCTTGCCATGTATTAAATTAATCTCTTAAGAAACAATTCACTTTTGTTACCTACAAGCAAACATTTTCATAGCTGTTAAACGACTATAGCTGCCATTCTATGTAAACTTGCATATCACATTGATTTTCTAGTCTATTTCATAAATCAGCTTTACAGGTAACTTATATATATTCCCTATCACATTTCTAGTCACACTTCACATATAAAATCTATTTTCTATATTAGTTTATTATAATTGGCATACCACATTCTTAGACTATTTTCACATGTAATACTTCAAATCTAGTCTATTTTCTACATAAATTAGCATATCACATTTCTAAGCTATTTACATGCATTGTTAATGGATAATGGTTAATGCCCCACACCCCTTTGCAAATCTTCATTTATGAGAAAAAATTATCTCATAAAATTGTTCAATAAAACATCCTGATGTATATTAATAAAACACTGTGGACAAAGCAAGAGAAATCAGTTTTTTTTTTTTTTTTAATTCAATTTTTCATCGTTCTTGTGCACTTTTTGACAAGAAGCCAATTTTCATCAATTACAAAATATTTTGGGGAAAATTAATTCATGCTGTTTGAATGCAGCAGTCAAAACATTGACCTCAGACGCAATATTACCCAAGATGCAATATTCAAAATGCCTATTCTTTTGTCAGTTAATCATCATCAACAACTGAGACAACTAGATCCACATAGATAAATGCACTAAAATGCAGCAATGCACTTGACACAGTGAAAGCACACTGACTAATGACATGCATATGGTTTGGAAAATATCTACGAACTTGCAGTAGAAGTTGACTTACAAGACTCCTGTTTAGACTTGGGGCCAGCTAGAGAAAGATTGGACAGAAAGTAGAAGTACAAGAAAAGAAAGGATAAAAGAGTCTGGAAGCACATTAAGAACAGATGATTCGCGGACTAACTGATCTGACCACTAAATATGGCCGACCCAACTTAGAAGCATCACTGCATAATCCTCTGACGGTCTCCCTGCCTCCACGTGCACCATAAAATGGTTGAAATCTCAGCTCTGAGGTTTAATTGGAAGGTCCCTGCAGTGACAGCACATACGGAGATGGGGAGGCCATCATAGAATTAGTCGGCACATGTTTTGGCCAAATCTAGTCCACATAATATGTAAGTCCATGGATCAACTTGTTCTAATTGCAATCTTGGACAGTAAGTATATAGTAAGAATTATACATGTGTAAAGCACTGTGCATTCCAAATAGTTTTCACATTCTATATTGATTCAATGTTACATACAGTCACTGAAATTCACATTCAATATGAAGTGACTATTCCATTTTTATTCTCTGAGGCACAAAATCTTGAACAGCAAAAAACAACAGTTTACTCCAACCTTGGTATGAATCTCTTTTCAAACTATTTCTACAAACAAGCTAGGTAAATTTCAATTATGTCAAAATTGCAAATATAAACAGAATGAATGACTGATATTATTTTAAAGCATGCTCAGTGAAAGGTGTGTGTTTGTGGTTGGATGCAAATTACTGGTAGATCCAGATCCTTTAAGGGGGGGGGGGTAAGGAGGGGTGTTAAAAGGGGACGGGGTTCACTTCAGTTACGAGTCTCTTCAGGTCAAATAGATGGTTATATCAATAATCAAAATATGGAAAATTGAAATGTATACAATAAATAAATAAATAAATAAATAAATAAATAAATAAATAACATTCTCCTGGAAGATGTACGACAGTCAGGGGGAAGGGGGGGGGGGTTACTTAAAACTCAGCTTTAGCAGTTGCTGATTGGAAAACAATTTGATGAGCAGTCAAAACAGAGCATGGGTGTGTGTGGGGGGGGGGGAAGAGGGAGAGGGTAGAGAGGGGAGCATGTTGCCCCTGGACTTTCCAGTGTTCATAGTAAACATGTTAACTATACTGACCGCGTTATAAACATATCATCATATCTATTGTTATTAGTAAATTTTATGATATAATCAGAAAAGTGTACAGATCTACGAAGTAGTTAAGTTCATGTCAGACGTACATAAGGTAAGGTAAATGACAAGACAAAAGGCTACGATACTTCTGTTGATATTGGAAATAAAAAGAAATATCCCCATTGTTTCACTCCTATTATGATACCAGTATTATAAGACTAGATACTGTTACATCAACCTGTGGGTTCAATCCAAATAAAACTATCGGTCTACGTAGATAGTAAGCATGTCTTTCAGTTGAGCCGAAAACATTCAGCGAGAGTTCCCACAAAGTTGGATTGAACTACGTAGACTGACAGAGTTATTGGAAATGAGCCCTACAACATAACAGTATCCTGCTAAAACTGGAAAAGAATGACGACTGGGAATATTTCTCTGATAAACAGGATAAATTTAAAGGGATACATGTATATGAAGTAAGCTACTGATGAACTATATGTCATGCAGGTCTGCACAGTCAGGTGCTAATGATACTTACTGTCCTTGGACTTGGAGGCTACAGGAGGCAGATAGACAGAAGAATGGATGAATGAATGATACAATGTTCTTGACTTAATTTCTAAACTTCATTCTTTTTTCATTATTTGACTGATGTTTAGGCAAAGGCAAAGCCAAGAAAGATGCAGAAATGAACTTTCAAACATATAACGTAACTGCTGTGACCTTAATATAAAAGCTGTCATTATAGTTCATATCAAAATCATAACTAGCACATTCACACTAATAAAATTGTCTATATCAGTATGTATCAATACTATATATATAGATATATCTGCTTAAGGTACCTTGAAAACCAAACATTTACCATTTAAGATGTATAGAAAAGCACATGACCCATTCACCAATTTTCAAATACATCACTCAGCTAAAACAATTTCAGTGTGAGGTGGAGAAGATCATGTACTCTTTGAAATCAAAATCATTATCACAAAGTGCAAAATTGTTCTCCCAGACAAGAGACTTCTAAATTGTACTGTCTCCCCCTCCCATCCACCCATGATAAGCTTGAGACCAGGATGCAAGTATTGAAATACATAAATAAATATCAGAGGAAGGTGATACTCAACAATAGCCATTAATGTGTTCGAAGGATCAACATAGTCAGAGATAAACATATATTTAAGTAGTTACAAGCCACAGAGACAGGTCTGTGCTTTAACCTTACAAAATGTGTAAATCAGCCAATTACCACTTCTTTCTTTTAATAAATACAAATTATATTTTTAGTCATGGGCTAATAACTTTTTAATTAAGGCCAGTCTTATTTATTTCACTTCTCAGTCTAATCATGTGTATAGTAATTACTTTTAAACATGTATTTTATATTATGTATCTTTAGTGGTCGAATAAACCCTTACGAAAAGGTCCTATAGGATCTTATAGGACTTTTTCATTGGGGAACCTTTTTTGATTATAATACATGAAAACCCAGACACACAGCAACGTAAAAATACTCACTTGAGCCCTTAGTACTGGGGCTTCCACTTCCTGGGAATGACGGCGCAGAAGAAAAAAGGCCTTTATTAAAATCTTTATCACAACAAAGTTATACTAGAAAAATGTGTATTAGTTGTTACAACAACAGACAGGACATGAATGCATTAACTTTGAGAAATTTTGTTACAGAAAGAAGAGATGAAGTGTTCTCCCCAGCATACATAGACAGTGTTAGTCAAGACTGGTGACATTACAATATTATTATTTTCTCGTGCTACATATAAAACTAGTGTTATCATGCAAAGTTGAGGGACATGTCCGATATAAGGGGAAACTATCCAAAACCACGGTGTTTCTGTTTGGGTTAATTAATCTTTAACTTATTAAAAACAGATGCCAAGAATTGTTTCCATGTATGTACACATACCAAATATGAAGTCAAGTTTCCAAAAAATACTTTTTAAACAGAACATATGTATAATGTGGCGAGACTATGATTTCAAATTTTAATGTGATCATGACATGCACCATAAAAATCAATCAACAGAGGGTGCCATATGTGGTGGTGAAACACAATCACAACCCGTATAACATGCAAACTACCTGGTGACTTTTTTCCTTTTTTTTCACCTTCTAATTCATCTTTATGTGAAGTTAGGCATAATGCTAAATCAGGGCCAGAATTTTTGTCTCTGTGAAAATGAACTTTGATTTTAGAAAAAAAAAAAATCTAGAGCAAACATATTTTCCCTTAACACTTGATACAAATAGGTTCATTAATGAACCTAAGAAGGATCAAATGCACCTAGATGTCCAAGTTGCAGTTGTCTTCTGGAACTAGGTACACAGCCTAACAATACTCACACATATAACAAATATAGCAGATATATACACATTCACATAACCTAGGATCCCTAAATATTTATTTCAAACAGAAGAAAGTTCTGTAAACAAACAAACGAACAAAGAGAAAGATACCCACACATAATGAAGGATATAAATAATAATATAATGCAAACAGCTAGCTATGTGGATATGATGAATCACTAAAATAACAAGAGACAAGAGACACATGTGCCACATGCAGACTATATGATATTAATATTTGCATGCTGTAATATAACTATTCAAATTGATATACACTAGATTAATATTTGATGTATATTATTTTAATGGAAGTGTTTTAAATTCTTTATAATGAACTACAACTGCTCACTCAAAATTAAANGAGTGCCACACCCAGACCCCAATACCGACAAAGCCCAAATTTTACGTGGAACGAGTTGAGATTATAGGTGACCTAAATCCATGAGATGGGTATGGGGGGCCTTACCGTCTAGGAGGAGAAGCGGTAACGGTAGCCGTCCGGCGGAGCCGGCGGAACGATCCGGACGAGACCGAAACCATGTGTACCGCCAGCGCTAACGCTGGTGCTACAATGACATGGTATGCACAATATTATATAATATGAAGATTCAAGTTTGTAGTGCTTTAGACTTGAACCCATGTAAAACAGCAATCTCAGAGTTTATGTCAAGTACCAAAATATCACAATTTTATACAATAAAATATATATACCATCATTACAATCATTCACTATATCAAGAAGTATTAATTTCAAAACACAAACAAAATATCATAATTCTATTCAATATATATCTCAAGCATATACTAGTACTGTTATTTATTAAATCAAGAAGCATTAATTTCAAACCACTTACTGTACTAGCACAAAATATTACAATTTTTATGTCATTCATTTATCTCAAGTATGAACCATTATTTACTATCATTCACTGTATTAAGAAGCATTAATTCTCAACCCCTCCCTACCCCAGGTGTTATATTACCTGTATAGGGGTGAGGCACTCCACTGGGGGTATGATGTGACGAGGGCATCATGTGCATTCTCCCTGGGGTACCTGGCATCTGACCCATGGGGGTCCCCCCTGGGCCTGGACTGGGGTATCCTGGACGCATGGAGCCTCCCTGCTGCAAGGAGAAAGAGAGAGAGATGGGTGGGGTGAAGATTATTATTATTATAGACAGTTGCACTTTTGAGTTTATTCCTTAGCAATTCATTTTATTTCTAAGGATTTTCAAAATACTTCAGGGTCTACTTAATTTACCGTAATGATTAAATACCAGCATATTATATCTACTCTTGGAAGTAACTTAAAAGATGCCATCAATTTTTGATTAATCAGTTTATGCCCAATGCATTACAAAGTGAACACCTTCAAATGCTCGACATCAGGTTAGATTGCCCCCAAAAGGCTTTGGGTTTATTCAGAAAGTGAATCATGAATGTGTTATCATATCTCTAGAAAGGGAAATGCATGAAGAATCTATTACTAAGAAACCAAAAATATAATAACTAACTGCTGAAAGACATGCCACTGTGAGGCACGCACTGCAAGCTGACGCTAAATTTCTCTAATAATACAAAGCGAAGGGATAGAGCTTCATTCCTCACTGTGACAAAGAAATATATTGACCTAGATTTATCTAGTCAATTATCATCCATATTTCAACCCACATAACCCATTCTCTATTTTGGTATACTTATCTTGGCTACTTACTGGGTAAGCCTGTGGATGAAATGGCCTCATCGGTGGTCCCTGCGGGTTAAATCGTGGCTGTGGAGGCTGCATGGGACTTTGAAAGCCGGGTCTGGCCGCCATCTTTGTTGTCGGTGTAGCGGGGGAATTTCACTCGTGACGTCATATAACGGAAGTTAACTTCTCAAATGCGAATTATTTTATAAATACCGTCATTAAAGATACCAGTAATTGATATTGAAGAAATTAAACACCAATCCATTTGTTTTTCGACAAAATGTACGTCAGAGTGAGCAAAATAGGTTAAAAATTATGTCGCAAAATTAATAAAAGTTAAGCCGCCATCATCTCGCGAGATGTGGCAAGGTGCTCGAGATTTCTGCCCGGTGAAGCCAGTGCAATGCAGAAATATGAAAAATTAGAGAAAATAGGCGAAGGTAACGTCCCCACTCGATCTGTATGACAAATAAGTGTATCTTTTCCCTAGATAATAACACGAGAAAGCCATCTAAACCGCCTGATCTCCGAAATCTGATTTCGTTTTCAAGTGAACCACCAGTTTCGTTCGTCAACAACTTGCTGTCACTGTCATTGACAGTGTCATTCACAGAAGGCAAACGGCCACCCTGCAATGTCAGATGTTCAAGTGCCACTTGTCATCGTCTCTGTGTTCATATCTGTGTTTGACATTCTCATATATTTGCCGATCGGATGGTGTGTCATTGAACAGCTATGATCAGTGTTAAACCAGAAGTATCAATTCCTGAATGATGCAACATCTATTTTATTTTCAGCATTTTTCATGATTGATTTGAACATTAATTGTATTAAATGTGTATCTTGTTTATTTACTCACCTTCTCACATCTGCATTCAGATTGATAAAGCATATTAGAAGCGTGTTTCAGTGTCAGAGCATGCAGTAATAAATAATAACTCTCAAGTTATATTCATATAGTGCACGGTTTATTGTTATGCATTATAATAATAATAATAATTATTATTATAATTATACTCTGTACAGGTACATATGGCACAGTATTCAAGGCAAAGAACAGGGAGACATGTGAGATAGTAGCTCTGAAGAGAGTCAGACTAGATGATGATGATGAGGTAATATATATGACAAAATTATACAAAGATTATAGGTCTTGGGGGGGGTAGATGGGCATGTAACAGGACGTAAGGATCTGTGTCACAAAAGAACTAAACCTGGATTCCTGGAAGTTAGATTTTCTTCTGTGTAAACATAAAGCATCTAGTTACTAAGCTTCTAATATTAAATTTTAAATATTGTATTAACTTTTCTATTCCAGGGTGTACCTAGTTCAGCATTACGTGAGATTTGTTTACTAAAGGAGCTGAAACACAAAAACATTGTGAGGTAAACAGGGGGAAAATTGAGGAAAATAAAAACAAAAAAATAATTAGTTTGAATATGTAACTGAAAAGTCCAAAATGCTGCATATAGTTAACTTGACCTCAACTTGAAAGAGAGAGATAGCTAAGATATTGGAAATTATTGTGTAGAATCAAATTTCATATATTGTGTAAAGCTGCTGTAAATGTAAATCTTTAGGGACTAATGATGTTATGACTGCTTCATCGAAGAATTTTGATGACATGAATGATTCCTACATGCATATTACAGATCCAAAACTTCATGCTGTAAAGGTAAAAACATCTCTTTAGAAAAAAAAAAAACATCTTTTACAAGGGGCAGTCAAACAACATTTTACTTTTGTGTTTAACATTTAACATTTCTTTTTGTCCAGACTTCACGATGTCCTTCACAGTGAGAAGAAGCTGACTCTAGTCTTTGAGTATTGTGATCAAGATCTGAAGAAATACTTTGACAGTTGCAATGGAGATATTGACCCTGATGTTGTCAAGGTACCTTTGTAGTATCCATGGCTATTGTGGTTGCCATGGTATCATTTTCTTATAATTCTTTCTAGATTAAAAGTAGATACTTTTTGATTGATTTTTTTTTTTTGTAAAAGTAACTATATATTGATTTTCATAAAGTTTTTTTTAAAGTATACATATTTTTGATTTTTTACAATTTTTTTAGGATTACAAAAAAATGTTGACTTCTGCTGAAGTATAAGTGTGTGCCCAGTTCATATGCATGTTGAAAATTTGTTGACAAAAGACAAATGGAAGTAATGTGTTTTGTTGTCACAGCTACCACATTCAGAGAGTGCTGCATAGTCCATCTAATGAGTGTATCTCCTCCTTAGAAAAGTAACATGAAAAATCCATCTAAATGGCCTGATGTCTGATATATAATTTAATTTGTTTTAATTGATTTATATTGGTATCATGTAACTGAACTGTAAATATATCTAATAGACTATTGTATTATTTCAGTCCTTCATGTATCAGTTGTTGAGAGGTCTTGCTTTCTGTCACAGTCATAATGTACTACACAGGGACTTGAAGCCACAGAACCTGCTCATTAATAAGGTGAAATATGTGAATTATTTATCTCCGTGGAATGTTTGTCTCTTTATGACTTGTCTTTAACATTTTAAAGATATCTTCCACATCTGAGAAAAAAATTAATTAAAAAAAGACATTTTTTGACATTTCAAAAACACATTCATAAATAACTTTTACGTTTATTCTTAGTCTACACTCTAATATGCTGTCTATTATGTCTTTTGTCTAGATCAGTTGACTCAATATGTCTTTTCTTTTCTCAGTTTCTGAAATAGTATTGAAAAAAAAAGGAAGAGAGAGTGAAAGTCATGTGGTGTTATATTTTCAGAATGGAGAGTTAAAGTTGGCAGATTTTGGTCTGGCCAGAGCCTTTGGTATCCCAGTACGGTGTTACTCCGCAGAGGTGGGGTATAAGAAAAAAATATTTCGGCAATTTTCCCTTATTATTCTTGGCTAAAAAAAGTTGAGAAAATTACAATCTGATAAAGTTTACCCTTTTAGAGATCCTAATTGTAAGTAAGTTATTTTTTTTTTCTTATTTATGCTTAAAAAGTGCTCTAATCAGTTGAATGAAATGAGTGTTAGATACATATAAACATGGTATGCCTTGGTGAATTTAGTAAAAAAAAAAAAGAATAGAAAAAGGAAAAAATGTTAAAATTACTACAGCATCCCTCATTCATTTTATGTTTGATGTAATTATAATTATTATTATATTTGTCTTTGTTTTATTCTCTGTCCAGGTTGTCACTCTATGGTATCGCCCCCCTGATGTCTTGTTTGGTGCTAAACTGTATACAACCTCTATAGATATGTGGTCCGCGGGGTGTATATTTGCAGGTAACAGCTCACTATAATACTTTTCTTATTAGTGAGACTTTAAATTGGACAGTCAGACTCAGTGTTTGTATAGACATAATATAGCTGTCATATTTTGATATGTAGACTTTGGTCTCTTAAGAAATGATTTTTTTACCTACAAAAAATAGGTAACTCACTTGCTTTTACAATTTTTGGTGGTAAAAAGGAAAAGGAGCTTTACTGGTTTATGAAATGATATACTGGTATTTTACAGAACTTGCCAATGCTGGCCGTCCGTTGTTTCCAGGAAGTGACGTGGATGACCAACTGAAGAGGATATTCAGGTGACGAGGAGTTACTGATATTTTCATTGTCTTGTCAGATATTTTACCAGCTTATCAGAATATTCTTTTAACAAAAATGTAATTATTTTCATCACCAGAAGATGGACTCTCTTCCTCAACACAACAGTTAGAGAACAGTGAAAAAATTAATACAATTAAGAATTCAAAATAAATATTTCCAAGGACAGTTTTCAGAGCTGCTAGACTTTTTAAGCACACGTCCTGTAGTGTTGATAATACTGTGTAGCAGTGGATGTCAAAAACAAAATACCCAGGTGTGGTGGAGCTGTCTCATAGCTTTGTATATAAAGAGGGAATCTCTGATGTGTAATATACTATTGTTTACAGGTTACTAGGCACACCTGGTGAAGACACCTGGTCAGGGATGACATCTTTACCTGACTACAAGGTAGGACACGTAGTATTATGATGGTAATATGTAAAGTAAGTTGATATCATGTTGAATATTTTCTTATATCCAATGTATACTTCCTCTTCCTGTAAGCTAGTGAATTGCCTAGAATGAAATGAATGTATGAATATGAAGAAAATGTATTTTAATATGTCTACTTATATCCTTTTATTAATTAACTGAGTACATATTATATATATAATATTTGTATTGTTGCCAGCCATACCCCCCATTCCACGTGACTACCAACTGGCAACATGTGGTACCTAAACTGAGTACCAAGGGAAGAGATCTACTACAGGTGAATGTTTTATATATGTACACACACACACACAGTGTAATATAGGGTAGATTACCTTGAGATCTCGGGTCTGACAGACCAGCCAGTTATTTATAAACACAGAGAGAGAGAGAAGAGAGAGAAAAACAATATATGCTGTATGAGCTGCACTGTAGCTCACCACCAATACTTATCACTGCCAGACTAGTTATTACTTCATATACCCTATATGATATAACCCTCGATGTGAACAGGTCTCATACCCCACACTAAGCACAGCCCTCCTCCACCCCTCCCCCACCCTCCCAAAACACACACAGACACCCAATCACACATGCACACACCACTAACGCCCCCCCCCCCTCCCACACACACAACAGCAACATCATCAACCCCACCTCCCCACCCATACATACACACCATGTATTCACATATAAATTAGTTCTATCTCATTAGCAATCTCCATCTCTATCTCATTAACAACAGGAGACCTCTGCTAGGTGTAATTACATGTCCCCCACCTGGTCTGCAGCTCTATTATAACATGCACCCCAGGTGAGGCTGATTACGTCAGTTCTTCACATTATTAGCATGTGCAGGGATTTAACAGAGGTATTGTACAGGATAATGACATGGTCCTAAATTCTGAAACACCCCAAGATACAATGAACAGGGGCTCTAAGGCTCTATTCCCATAGATTTTAGATCGATCTATCCCCGCGGGTAGTCTCACTAGATTACTTTCAGATAATCCAACTTAAATGTCTGTCCAGCCTAATACAAGCTATAAGGGGGCAATTAACTTTCGTGTCCGCCCGACTGACAGCTATTTAGCGTGAACCCCCAGGGAGTTAGGTCGATCTAAAGTAGGTCGATCTAATCTATGGAAATGGGGTGTAAGATTATGGTATATGAAATAATATAACATTAGACTGTCACTCAGTGTGATAAACAGAGGGGTATTGTAAAGGATAAAAATATGTTTCTAAATCCTTTAAAACCCCCAAGATACAATGAACAGGGGCTCTAAGATTATGCTATATGATATTCTATTACATGTGCACACAATGTGATTAACAAGGGTAATGCAGATGTTAATAGTAAGTTTCTAAATCCTTTAATACCCTAAGATATAATGAACAGGGGTTCCAAGACTATGGTATAAGATACTCTATTACATATGCACACAGTGTGATATATGATACATGCTGGGTTCAGGCAGAATGTAGATTAAGGGCTCATTCCAAATGGGACTATAATCCTACTTAGATCTTTCTAACTCTGCAGGTCCTCTCACTGAATACAACCAGATCAACAAATTATCACAGGGGCGGATTTAGGCCGCCTTCTGGGTCTTCCGGAAGATGGTCAGATTTTCAAGTTAACATTGACGAGTATCTAATTATTTTATTTTTGTTGGAAGACGGTCAAAAATGGTCAACAAGTTAATTTCGAAGTCTGTCAAAAAATATCTCTGGATCCGCCCCTGTTACCACACTTACTCCCTTGCATTTAGTAGAATACATAAGAGCTGGTGATTATATTTTATTTTGGAAAGGATGTAATGTCATTGGAAATGAGCCCTTAAACTTATATCAGCAATGTGAAAGAAGTACTGAGAATAATGCCACAATAACTGCTGCTGTAACATCAAGTAAACTGAAGTCAACCACTGCACTGGCATCTACATTGATATATATTCAGTGAATTAAGGGTCTCAGATTGATAATCAGATTAGATGAGAGCAGAGAGGGGTGGACTCCCATTATGCAAACCCCCTAATTCTTCTGCATATAGATCTCTCATTTAGTAGAATGGAGACTCCATATTCTTTGTGGCATCATTAAGAGGCAGACATCATTGTTCATGTTCTTAAAAAAGTGCATTAGTCTGGTAGATATACATGGATTGTTGAATTAATAATTTCACAGATGATATGAAAGTACAGTAGTTAAATACCAAAAAAAAATGTCTGTGGAATTATTAATTCAACGATCCACATCATTATTCATATCCTGGCCTAATCCTATACATCTACTGTCAGCAGAAGAGGTGACAGTTGTGTTGGATAATAGATGTACTGCATCCATTGTATTACACCATCACAGTACTAGTAACAGGGGAGGAGTTAGGGAAAGAAAACACAACTTGTGGCCACTGTATTGCACTGCCACAGAGGAGGATATATGCAAAGAGAACATTTAATTTTTGTCCATTATATGACAGTGTCATAGTACCTGTAACAGAGGAGGACTTGGGGAGAAAGAAAATATTAACTTGTGTCCATTATGGATTAACATAGGAAGTGGGGTCAGTGTGACACCTGCCGAGTGGTCAGTTCTTTCAGTGGTCAGTTCTCTACTGGTCAGTGTTGGAGTCTGAAGAAAGTTTTCGCAGATGTCTTCATAGCTGGATGTGTGGTGTTTAGGACAGATGAAGACCCATTGTGCTTTGTGGATGTTTCTGATTTTGATGAATTTTAATAAGATGTGGAACTGAATTGCCCAGTGTTTTCCTCACATTGTTAGGTCATTTCTCAATGGTTATATGAAGTGTGGGCTTGAGTACTCAGCATTCAAGAGTTTGGCAAAAGCAGACTATACCATACTACAGCTCTAGGAACTGAGCTAGATTGAGATTGTGAAGGGAAACAAACCGTTGGAAACTCAAGTTAGTTCTGAATATATTTCCTGCAATTTCTGTTCAGAACTAAAACAGACCAGCCAACAACAATAGTGACAACGCACCAAGATGTCTCATTGGGGGAATAGAGGTCCACTGCCCCAACAACAGTTGCTGAGTGCTGAAGTTGTTGACTTAAGCTACCTAGACAAAGACGACTGCATAGCACTGGACATAAAACTAGCCAAGGTCATCAGAATGGCGGCTTTGCTAGATGAACAGGTGCGCCAGCTGTTAGTGCGGTGGAAACGCGCAAACAAGAACCAGCGTAGGACATCAATGACGGTACTTCGTCATCGCATCCGTATTGTGTCCGCCGTGAGGGAAATGTTTTACCGCTACGCCAGACGGCAATGTGACGTGTTTGAGGCTATGCAGAACCATGTTGGGGTGTGGCTGGATGAATCTGAGGATGAGGAGGAGGATGAACATGAGGAGGAGGAGGAGGCAGAGAAAGAGGAGGAGGAAGCAGAAGATGTAGAGGAGGAGTCCAAGGAAGAGGAGGAAGCAGAGGAGCAGGAGGAAGCAAAGGAGCAGGAAGAGGATGAAGCAAAGGAAGAGGAGGAGAAAGCAAAGGAGGATGTTAGAAATAATGGAGAAAAAACAGATAATGAGAATGATTCTGAAGAGGTGTAAAAACTCTAATAGTGGCAACATGAATCCATTGATATGGATAATGTGTTTATTATTTATAATGAAGATCAAATTTGTGGTTACAATCCAGATGATGATTTTAAAGAAGAGGAAACAGACCCAGAAAGAGTAAAGCTTAATCTCATTTGGATGAATATGAAGATTATAATAACGCAGACAATTATAAGGAAGATGTAGATAGTTATCATGTTAATTTTATAGGATGAAGATTGAGGAGATGAAACACATTTATCAGTGTCATCTGGCACTAAGGAACTTGGCACCAGCTAAAAGATAGCTGCTATTAGTTGGTTGGAAATAAGTTTGTCTGAACAACGTTTTCATGAGAAAAAAATTATGAAAGATGAAATGGTTTCTTCTCCAATTCCAACTTCTTATTTCAAAAGTGAAGAAAGACAGGAAATAGTGGAAGAAATTCAAAACCAATTTCCCGAAGTCCACATATTGCTGATTTTTCCTTAAGACCAAAGAATGGAAACCAGTCTTTTGGCTTCATATTTTGTGATATTGGATGAAATATATAAAAATCAGCAAATTGGAACACAAAAGCAAAGAACTCAATTTTCTTGGACCTGGTGGATGGAAGGATAGCAACAGAAATTTCCCATCAATTAATTTCCAAAAATGTTTCAAATAATGTTCATTTAAGTATGAGAAATTTGATGTTATTTTTTAAAATGTACATGTGTGCTTGTTTATTCTATGTGTGTGTGTGATATTGTTGATTTAAACTACAATATGATGATATAAAAATAATTGTATCTACAGTAATAATCTTTTTTGATACAGATGTTTGAGCTTTCTTTAAAATCAACTGTGTGTTTTGCTGACAGTAATGTTTAATCTTTAAAGTTCACATTTTTTCCTGAGTTTTAAGTTATAAAAAGTATGAACATATAGTCAAGATTTATTTATTATCATTAACTTTACATATTTCCACATCTAAATCTCTTCATAATGGTGGTAATAGTAGGTGTGGGGGGTTACTTAGATATTATAATCCTAAACTTTAACATTCTATTTTCAGCGGTTACTGGTCTGTAACCCGTCTGGTAGGATATCTGCGGAGGACGGAATGCAGCACAGTTACTTCGCAGATCTCAACCCAGCTGTGAAGCAAGGATGAGGGATTGTCGAATGGAGATTTATCCACAGAGATCTATCAAAAGCCATTTTTTTTTTTTTTTTACATTGAATGTTATATTTTTTTCTGTATCACACCATTTGAGAAATTGATCGTTGGAGATGTAAAAGTGTCTACAAAAATTGACTCTCTGGGTTGTGCATGGCCACTTAACTGCACGCGCCTTTAAACAGATTAAATCACGACTGCGGGGTTTAATTACTAGGATGGCGTGTGTGGAGGCGGAAGACCACCAGCAGATTAGTCGACTTTGCTTTCTTGTAAGAAATGGCATATTTGATTTGTGGATCAGTAGATCCGAGGATCATCTGTTGTGAATGGCCTCATACATTTGAAAAGCAGTTAAAAATCCCACTGCATAATGCCGTAATTACATATTAGGGCCAGTTAAACTGGTGTGGTACAGAAAACTATTGTTCTTTGGTAAAATGGCCTGACAGTTGACCATTGTGAGACTAAAACTGACAGTTGTGAGCAAAAAGTGCAAGTTGAGTTATTCTGAGCACAACATTACAACAGAAGAGTCCAGGAGTTTTTTAATTGTAAGGTTATTTTTGTTTGATATTGTCTTAAAGGTATATTTTGTAATCCTATCAGTGTTACATTTCATGTAGTTTGTATGCTTAGCTCAGCTAACTGCAGTTCTATGTATTCTGTATATAACTACAGGAGAACTGGAAGAATTGCAATTCATGTTTTACATCAGCACAAGCCTTAAAATGAGTACAAATGTACAGATCACTGGAGAACCCCACCCCCCCCTCTCTTATCTGCAGTAGGTCTTGCTCAGAGCCTCTAGCATACCTTTACATTAGCTGTAAACTCCCAAATAGGTTTATCTCGAACCCCCTGTGAACATGTATTCTGTGCTTTGAGGGGGTTGTTTATGAAAAAAAAAAAACAAAAAAAAACTGAAGCAGTAAATTGATCTCAATTTTAGACCGTAAAACCATTTACTTCAGTCTAGGATAGATTAATCTCACAGTTGTCCACAGAAATGGAATAAGTCATGGTATGAGACAAACTTCATCTTTCTTGTTATAAACCAGCTGCAGTTCTTCATTTAGTTGGACGACTGCTGGCCTGTTTCAGGTCAAAGTGCATTGAATTTTTGGTCTAGAAATTAAGACCAGTTTTGAGGTTTGAGAGTTTTCTTTGAAATAAGTCCCAAAAATAAAGATGGGTATTATTATTATTGGTATTCAATTTTTTATTTATTTATTTTTATTTATTTTATTTATTTATTTTATTTTATTTTTTTTTTTGGGGGGGGGGGCGTCTATAGATAAACTGTTATTATATTGTCAAGTAGAAATTATGGTAACATTGTTGGTATTTTCTATCATAGCCCTTTGCAGTGTGACTGCAAGGGATGTGACTGTTTTTGTCATTGTATTTCTTTGTTTTTTATCCAAGAAATTTCTGCTATGCCTTTTCCCTTTGTTATTTCACACTAATGTCATGTAAATCAGTGCTTAATGTTAATTAGTTGTGCAATGCAGTTAACTGAGAGAGGAGAGACAGATGTATGTAATGTAAAATATCTTCGTTCTCAGCTGAGAATGATTATTTCATAAGCTTATGTACAGAATGTGCACAATATGAAGGAATTGCTAATTAAATTCTAGCAGGATGGACAAAAATAATAACCCCACTTCTCCTTGATAGAAAGTACAAATGTTGTATTGTCTAAAATTAACAAATCTGAAATATGTTTTAAATATTTATGTAGTAATAGCTTTAACTTGTTGCACTTTGTAAAGTATATGTTGTTCAAGAGGGAGAAGTTGAAGCTCTTCCTTGTACGGATGGGACTCTGTAATGCTAGCCTGAGGTGGGTTGGAGGCGATGTTTTAAATAAAATGTTGTAAACTTGAATCTTATGTTTATGTACTATTTTCATAATGATTTTTGACGTGTCGTAGTCATGAGTGTGACTGATGCATGCGCGTAGCTGGTGCAATTCTGTCAGCAAGAATTCAACTTTCGCCCTTTAACTGGTTTTGTAAAATAATTTCTGTCTCTCTTTACCCAGGCATCACTGTTCTGATCTCAGCAGTGAGACCTTAAATATGACACGTTCCTGTTCTTTAGTTGTATTGGCAACACATTCTAAATATTTAGAACTTAAAGGCACCAGCTGTAAGCACTAAACCTTACTTCAAGTGTAATGTAAGCAACTGTTCTATCAACATATAATATTTTCACGCAGCACTAAAATATACTGCAGAAGAGCTTCCTTGTGCAATGTACTATTTACTTCCAAATTTCGTCACTGTGACATAGTTTGCGGAATATGAAAAGATGACACCTCATAACGAGAACATATCCTAGATTCAGGAACATTTTCTTTTTGACACACACTTAAACAATCTGTCACTCATGCTAGTCATGTCAAGTATAAAGTCAACTATTTTATGTCATAATTATGTGACCAGTGAATCAGGCATAACTTAGGGCGCATTCCCATAGATTTTAGACCGATTTGTCCCCGTGGGGAGTCTTACTAGATTACTGTCAGATAATCCGGCTTAAATGTCCGTCCCGCCTACTAAAAGCTGTAAGGGGGTAATTAACTTCTGTGCGTGGTCAGCTGACTGCAATTTAGCGTGAACCCCCAGGGAGTTAGGTCGATCTAGTAAGATCGATCTAAATCTCTGGGAATGCCCTCTGATAGTTATGACTATTGACACGAGATGAACACCTCACATACAAGTGTATGTTTAGAAATCTGACTAAAAGTAAACGTTACCGTTAAGACAACATCTTTTCAAAATGATATTTGACATGACATGACATTCTGGGCCCAGTTTTATAAAGGACGTTTAGCACTAACCAGTGTTTAAGTCTAACCAGTGGATAAATTCTCCTAACACCCGTTAATTAAAGGACGGTTGAAATCGTGTTTCATAAACAGCGTAAAACAGCCGGTTAGTTAACTGACCTTTACATATTTTATCCAGTTAAACACTGGCCATTAAACTATTCGGCTGTTTAAACACTGTTTATGAAACACAATTTTAACCATCTTTTAGTTAAGGGAGATGTTAGGAGAATTTATCCACTGGTTAGACTTATCCACTGATTAGTGCTAAACGTCCTTTATAACACTGGGCCCTGAACTTTTACTGTTTATCACTTGACTGTTAGAACACTATAAGCTCCAGAGCTTCCCTTAGCAAAATATAAAGTTTGCAGCAAATTTGCAAGAAGCAATTTTACCATGCAAACTAGGTTGGAAATCTTCCTTGCCAACTTTCTGCAAAGCTGCAGCAACTTATATTCTTCTTGTGACCAACTGCAAACAGGTTCTAGCTAATAATTATTGTTTAGTGTGTGGCACCAAATTTGCTGCAAACCTTAAATTTTCCTAGGGGTTCGGAAAAGACAACATGGACAGTCTGTTGAGAAACAAATTATATTTTTATCTTCATTACACAATACTATTATACAATCATAGTAAACTTTAGGGTATTTCACTGAATAAATCGTACATTTGTGCATAAAGTATATAACAGACCAGTTGAAGAGAACTCCATTTCTTAAATAACTAATTGCTATATTTCAATTGCTTATAATATATTTGTGGAATGAGCTGAGCCTGATCATTATCTCTCACTTCAAAACTACTTTTGACTTTAAAACCTTCAAAAACAAATTGGATATTATTTTAAATAAACAGCGATGATCAGAGTACTAGTAACATATCTGTCCATCACTATCTCATATACATATTTTTTTTTAGTTATGCCATGGAATACTGCCATCTTTAGACAAGAAACGGACAGACATTTTTTTTTTTTTTTTTTTACATCTTTATGGATAGTTATGTCATGGAAAACTGTATAAAGAAACCTGTGAACTAAAAGAAATATGTGGCGACAATTTCTTCTGTTAAAATACATACGTACATTCCTATAATGCTGAGATATATCATAATAAACTGATACTTTTAATAAAAAAAATGATGGCACAATTGGCTTTTTTTTTCTTTTTACAGGACAAAAGCCACAAAGGAATCAATTTCCTTACAAATAGAGGTGTATGCTAATTAACATATTCTACATATGAGAGAAACATTGAGTTAAAATATACCTAAAATCTACATGTTTTGGTAATAAGTA